GCATATAGCCTCATGGTAAACATGCTATCATGGCAACATTCGCGCGCATGCAAGATGCTAAAGCGTAAAAGCTTACCTAGTACTCTGAGCCAAAACAAAAACTAGGTTAGAAATCCATGCATGATCCTAACTATACAGAAATGCCTAATGCAACACATGCAAAATGCAACTACAATAGGCTCGGCTATTCTACAATGACATGTGAAATGCTACAGCTAATAAGTATTCAACTTGGAATTGAAGTACAAATGGAGTTAGTATGATGCGCCGAGCCCGGTGCATGCTAGACAGATGAATGAATGCAAACATGATATCATACTGTATGCTAATTGAAACATGCCCTAATCTAACCATCATAAGCTGGTAAATAAAAGGAGAAAGACGTGGGGTTGGAAGACATACATCACACGCACGCACACTTATTACAATTGCGCCCTCGCTCGGAGGGTCCAAATAAATAATACAGTCCTAATAAATAACGAATTACAGCTAATTATTACACAACCGCTAACTAATTAACAAATTAGCTAAGTAAGCTATAAACTGGCATGCAAATGGACTATCCCGTCTCTGTTTTGGATGATAATGAATGCATGCATGCTCGATGCGCTTTGTCGGTAAATTCCATCGCGATGCCTTGTCTCGCCATTGTTTACAGCTGATTTCAGAAACTTACACAAAGCTCCAGGAGGCTGAAACTCCACCTTGGGAAAGCCACCGACCAGGTATTGGCTTGGAAACCCCCTACCGACCACCCCTCATGGTGAAAACCAAAAAAGGTGGTCGGCCTACCAGAAAACCTGGTCGGCCGACCACTTTCTGCCCCTGGACTCTGGTTTTTCTACAACAAAGGCAAGAAAGAGAGAAAGCAATGTATTTTCAACATATGTGTGTGCGACCACTCCTCCCCGTCCTTGCACAAGCTCTAGGGAGTGTGGCCCTCGGTTCTCAAGCCACTAATCACGCATCTCGATGCATGATGGCCGAGAGACCGAATTACATGTTTTAATATGACATGAATGCAGGTATGAACATATGAAGCCAACAATTCTATCATAGATAATCAAGAACGTCGGGGACCAGGAATCGAGGCACGTTTCGTCACTTGAAGTACGAAATGCCCCTCGTTTCCCATGCTTGGACTAAACCCTATTCCAAGCACCATGCAAATGGAATGGCACGCACAATGCGACCAACATGCAACCTAGCATACACAATGCTCTGTACTAAAATGGCATACACAATGCACGTGATGTAACATGGCATACACAATGCTCTAAAATGCAACCTAGCATACGCAATGCTATGGATTGAAATGGCATACACAATGCACGATGGACTTACACCAACATGAGTGGACCTCAGCCACACCCACATCAGTGGCCATGTGATGGAAAAGAGACAACCGAAATGTGTGCACACGTGCACGCATACCTTAGGCATAAAATGCCACTCTACCAAAGCATGGCAAGGGATGAAAGATGGCATACAAACATGTAATTTGCACCACTAAAACATGATACTAAATGGTCCCGAAACATGGAAATATGGCACCCGATGCATGAAATAAGCCCCAAAACTCAAAGCTAGGCAAGTGTATTGAACAATAAGCATGCAAAACGAACATCATTCGACCATGAGACCTAAAAACAGAGCTAAAGCAGTCCAAAACATGCATAATATCAGTTTAAGGCGTGGCCAAAAAGTGCTAACATGAAGGGCCAAAACAACATGCAACATAGGCTAGTAAGCATGGTTAACACCATATGTATATGAAGCACAAGGGAGGTCACCAAACCAGCCAAAAACAGAAATATGGCATGTCAAATAAACCTCAAAAACCCACTGAAACTCAGTCAACACATGTTAAAATGAGGTGCTCCTTTGAGAGGCCAATAAGAGGGTTGTTCAACACATACAAGATAGACATATAAAATGGCAAAACCACCTCTGGAAATAGGTTATGAGGTCGGGTGGGGTGATGACCTTATTGTCAATCAAGTCTTCAATTTTATGGCGAATGCGGAAGCAACGGCCAGTATGATGACCATACTGCTGATAGAACGTGCAATATTAGGTAAGGTCATGTCTAGGTGGGAGAGGGTTAGGGAGAAGTCGAGGATTGGGGAGTTTAAGATACCCTTTCACCATTAGTAGCTTCAAGGCGCTAGTTGGGCTCATATAGAGATGGGCAAAGGTTCGTTTTTGGGAGTACAAAGTACTAGTTTTAGAAAAATTGGCAAATGGGTTGGTGAGTGTTAGGTAAGTATTCATGGGCTTAGGGCTAGAATTAGGATGGGTGTTTCTGGTAAAGTATCCTTTTTCATGGCTTACCCCCTGATTCAAAATGCTCGCAACCTAAGCGACAAAAGTGTCATCCACAGTCTTTGCAACAACTATAAGCACTTGCTACTTGTTCAACCATTTGACCTTCAAAGTCTGAATAGCCCACCGAAGATGTGCATAGGGATGAATACTTGCCCCGGCCTTGTTCTTGCCACTTACTTCAGCTTGGCCAAGGGATTAAGTGGCTACATCGAAGTGAGACCTATTTGTTGTTAATATGTCATCACCCAGACTTGAGATAGCTTCGGGTTGGCCCTTTCCAACTGTAGCTCACCCCAACATTGGGGAGCTTTTTGACATGAACTTTTTGGCACATGATGTGGTCGATGATGGAGCCAAGGCCCCAATATGCCTCTTTCACCACCGTCTTCACCTCAAAATTGTCTGGTCCAACGTTGAATCCTTAATGCTGAGTCACTCAGAAATCTACCAAAGCATCAGGTTCAAGTTTCTTGGAATCCACCGAAGAACAACTCTCTCTTTTGTGAATAAAAGAAAATATTGAACCTCTTGATGATGTTGATATAAAGTTCATGGATCCATTGATCACTTTTAAATCATCAAGCAAATACTCATAAAGCACCCTCTAATATAAAGCACTTTTTTTCTTCCTGAAAATCTGGACGATACAAACCCTAAAAGTAGCAAACAACGTATTTAATAGAAAATAGGAACGCACAGACTGCTCGAGCGCACATTTCACTGGTCGAGCGATGTGACTAAAGGTGGTATGAAACATATAGGTTAATCGCTCGAGCATAACTGTGACTGTTCGAGCGGTAAAACTTTCTTCCCAAAAGTTGAGGGGCACTATAAAAATACTATATGATCTTTTTCTTCGCTCGAGCACATAAATGACTGCTCGAGAGGTCAAACAACATCGGCTGCATTTTTACTTTTTTTTTTTAAGGCGTTACCCCTCAACCCTGCCTGGGCGCTACCCAGAACCCGCTATAGGGCGCTACACCTTGGACCCCCGTGAGCTGATCGAGATCCCCGTACATAGTCATTCCTCGTACATAGTCATTGAAGTGGCAAACATGAAAGGATTAAGATGTTTGCAAGGCATAATTCAAATTGGATTCGTATCCAAATACTCACTGCCTCACTGAATCAAAAGAGCAAATAAAATTACAACTAAAAGGAATTTTGTCAAACGATATTGTTAATTACAAAAACCGAATAGAAAGCTTATTATGAAAGGTGGTACCTATTAGTAACAAGTGTGACCATTCCCAACAGCCACCATGGTATATATAAATATTCATGGCAAGTGAACTTGTAACCCACTTGAATCATTCTGTTTTTGTTCTCTCTCGGATCCTCAATTTTTTTGCATGATAAACACCCTCACGGGATTATCGATCTTCGCCATTGTCGGTTTATCTTTCAAGATGTAGGTCTTTTTGAATTTATTTGCCAAACTTCAGTTGTTTTACGAAATTGTGTTTTTAAAATGCAACTTCAAAGATTTTATAACAAGCAAACTAAATTCATATTATCAAAACACGCTTTCAAGTCAAACGTCTTGACTTCAAAGCACAATTTCACAAGTTAGTATAAATTTGACAAATAAATTTAAAATGGCACAAGTTTGACAAATATAATTTAAAAACACATGAGCATGGGTATATAAAAATAAATATTAACAAAAAATGATTATTGAAGATTGAATTTTTTAAAAATCTTTTTGTGATTACTTTGAAATCCTTGGTGACAATTGAATAGTATCCATTTTGAGGAGTGATGTCATTGAAGTAAAGGATAGGAGTTGATGAATGTGAGTATACTTGAGCTGAAACCATCACTATAGGAAATAATGATTTTAACGACATTTATTTAACGGCTTTTTTTAAAACGTCACTTTTGTACTATTTAATGGCGTTTTATAAATGTCGCATTTTTTTAAAAATTAAAACGACACTTTTTTAATAATAGAAGGCATTCAAAACGCCTTCAAATGTCTAAACCCTCCCCTATCTCTTTTCAAACCCTATATTTTGAATCTGAGAGAAACCGATCAAGACTCTCTCTCTCTCTCTCTCTCTTTCTCTCTCTCTCTCTCTCTCTCTCTAAACTCTCTCTAAACCCTAATCTTGCTCTAAGTGATTTATCTCAGTGATTTGGATTCATCTCATATAGGGGTGAGAGATTCATCTCAGAGCGATTTCGATTTTGATTTCGAAGTTGTCTCTCTCTCAATTTCGAAGCTCCATTGCCACCACCACCTATACTGGCGAGAGCAAGCACCACCGCATACTAAGGTGTGAACCAACACCTACAATCTCAGTTTTGTATTCTCTTTCTCTCTCCCAAGCTTTTCCTTCTCGTCGATTCTTCTCGTAGGGTTTACTATCTTGAATTTTCTCTTAGGGTTTTCAATCAATGTTTTGAAGAATTTTAATCTCTGTTTTTTATTGTTCAGTTTGGATTGATCAATCAGTGTTTTACACATCTCATTTATTTTTCCCCAGATCCCCAGAACTAATTTTTCAACCAGTGTTTTTTATTTTTCACTCTCTGTTTTTTTATTACCCTGTTTTAAACCCTAAATTACCCTGGTTCAAAATGACCTGTTAGATCTGGATACTATTGAACTAACAATATGTCTGTTTTCCAAGAATATTGTATTTTACTATTGAGTTCTTCTTGTCCTACCCAGATATTTGGCGGTGTGGGCATTGCTTGTCTGCCATTGGGACTTACTTTTCATTCTTTCGGCGTCCAAAAACTGTTATCACTCGTTCACAGTATATTAAGGTACTTTTTGCATTGTGCTTTATGTATCCATATGAAATTACCTACTTCTGCCTTCTGTATCAATGTAATGGTTATTTGCATGTTCAAGTTGATTATAGGCAATTGACTCGATAATTTGTAGGAAGCAACTGAACTAGGTAAGAAGGCAAGAAAATTGAAGAAAGCAGCTGATGCGCTTCGTCAGGAGGAAAAGAGTGGCTCAAAGGGAAGGAAGTGGCGTAAAAATGTAAAGGCAGTAGAAAAGGTATTAACCTTTATCAGTTATTGTTGCACATAATGTTTCTGTTTCTTCCCATGGAACATAAGGTATTGGGGACTTTCATCACAGAATGGGAAGATGGGAGGTTAATGCCAACAAACTGCTAGCAACGAAGGAGTCTGCCCACATGTATGCTGAGCGCTTGACTGAACTAGCTACTGCTTTGGGATTTGATGGGTGGCTGGTAAAGTCTCCTTTTCTTTCCTTTTTTCTACAACATAGCCACTGCCATCTTTTGGTTCCTCTTTATTCTCTCGTGGAGTTCACATTCTTTATGTTCACACCCTACTTATTTGTTTGATAGCTTATTTTTATGAACTTGTTGATGTATTTTGTAGTCTTTGCAGACCTGAAAATCTGTTGTCACAAGATGATCTAAAAATTTGACTGCATGGTTTGGCTTGGTTGGCATGAGACAATTGTTCCTTTGATCTTCAAGAATCTGATACCTTTATCATGAAATTACCATATGGATATTGATTAAATTATTATTATTATTTTTGTATCTTTTTGTTTGCATTTGCACGCATTTTTATACCACTGTTTAATTTCCTCAGTTAATATTTTTCGTAATGTGGTCCAGGAAAAATTAGCTCATGGATTGACCTGGATTCAGAAGATGAGATACTCAGTGTTGAGTGCCATTTCCTCAACTCACTTTCCTTTTGATTTGTATTCAATCAATGCCTTTTGTTCTAGGCAGGTACATTAGCAAGTACAATTCATGGGAGGTTATTTTGCATCTTATATGATGATTTTAATTTGTATGATAAAAATGCCGTGTTTTATTTTGTGTTCTTGCACTGCAGGTCTTCCAATCGTTGCATAAGAAGCTTATTGTTTTCACTATTTGCATTTCTCCTGCAGGCTTGTCTTCTTCCTACTCCTAAAGGAGCATCCTGTGCTAATTATGCTAGATGTGTGAATCAGATTCTACAGAATCTGACCAACATGCAGGTGCTAATCTTAAACCATATATCACGCATCCACTATTTGAGTCTTGCTTCATGTCTTACATTGTCTCTCCTTTTGTGTAGTCTTCGTTCTTATTATTTATTTCCATATTAAAGTTTGAACTTGCTGTATGTGAAATATGCCACTACCCAAAGTTGATCTTGCTTATTAGGGGTGGAGAGCTGGAGTGCATGCGTTTTAATTTTCTGATTTGTTTGAACTTAGCATATGCAAATGGAAAGTTATTTTGTCATGGAATTGCTTTCTGTCATCTTGGGGTTATGCCTCTCTCTTATGGCTGGATCATTTGTAGTTTCTTTGCTCCTGTCCAATAAATTTTTGAATCCTGAAGTGTGTGTTTTTTTGGCCTAACAAGATTTTCTGTCTTGTGTTGGTTCACGGTTTCTCAAATAGAATGATCAATTTCTGAACCTTAATTTTCCGAGCCTGTGATTAATTGATCAAAATCTGCCCTCACTTTTCTCCTGTTTCTCTGATTAGTATTTTTCTAATTAATCCATTGAAAGAACTTTTAAGTGGTATGGTGTGAAGCATGTGTAGATTAGAAATTGTTGTGATAACTGTGTAATAAATATCAGTTTTATCTTTACAAGCCCTTCTATTTTTGCCTAAGAGAGTGGAGGACAGGTCGATTCTTGGGAAACATGGAATTCCTTCCGTCTTCTATGTGAACATCACAGTCAGTTGTTCATTGCCCTTGATGTTTTGTGAGTATATATAAACATTAATTTTTATATAGGAGATGTATCTGTTTCCACCTAGTGTAAAATTTTTATTTACACCCCTCTGTAACTTGTGTGTAAACTTTCACAAATCCTACCTTTGTATTTCATGCTTATCTTATACCTTTCAATCTTGCCAAATTTCAGTTAAATTGAAGGTCAAGAGTTTTCTAACCTGTATCGCTTTCATATATATAGTCATATTATACACAAAATGCAAGTGTATGGATAGCCTAATTTTTATTTTTTTTTATTGTTGATTGATCTAATACTTGGCACGCATGAATGGCAAAAGTTGAGCATGAAATCCATCGGCAGGATTTGTGAAAGGTGGCTTGCATAAAATGTTATAGATGTGTGTAAGAATAAAAATGTCTTACAGCAGGTGTAAATGGATCCCTACCCATATCTATCTATCTTTCTTTGAATGCAGAAGTACTTAAATGATGTGAAGTTTCAGTGGTCAGTACTCCAGAACCACCAGTAATTCTATGGTTTGACACGTGACCAATCTTTTCATTGGGAGTTCACTGCCTTCATCAAATTCAATTGGAAGATGGTTTGGGGAATCTGTTAGAGCAGCTATAATTCATACCAGTGTAAAGGGTTTATCGATTATACCTTTTCTAAGCTTAAGTAGTATTTCATGCAGTCTCTGTGACTCAGACACTCACATTTGTAACTGTTGATTTGCCAGTCTTTTCTAACAAATGCTCGGGTGTAACGCCCTCAAAATTAAACCCATAATATACATAACATTGACATGCTTTAATAAAAGAAAACGAATCATTTGAATTGTTCATCAAAGTACTTTTATTGAAAGACATCACAATAAATGCCCTAAGGGCTTACATCTTTCCAAGCTAACACTTGGTCACAAAAGAATGAGTACTAACTCATTTACATGTTAAGCCCTTGGCTTGAATGTTTACATTTATTCTCAAATAAAAACAAATAACTAAAGACAAGTCTTCAAAATCCAAATCCTTCCAAGCTAAGTCCTGGGAGGTAGCTTATCACCTGAACCTGAAAATGATGTTCCCATAAAGGGTGAGCCACAGCCCAGTAGAAATATACTAAACCAAATATAAGCATTGAATAAAGCAATAGCATTCAATAGATGGTTAACCAAGATAATCAATTACATCATTATACAGTTTCATGACACTAATGTCTAAGACATGTTTTACTTTCCAACATTATCAATATGGCTCAGAACATCCCCTATCTCCTCCAACACAACACAATGCATATAAACAATAATTATACACATCATCACACAACACATAAATCCAACTGCGGCGGCAAAGCTAAACGATAAGCAGTCTCGATAAAAACACTTCAATATAATAAGCACACATAAAAGTGATGCTAATGGAGTCCATCCCCTATCTCCTCCCAAACAAAATCCGGTTTAGAGGTCCATCCCCTATCTTCCCCTAAACCGTGGAGTACATCCCCTATCTCCTCCCACACACAAACAATGTATGCAAATGCAATGCTCAATCAATACACGTATTTTCTGTATCAATGCAATAATCAAAATTAATGACTTAACCAATGTGATTAGTTTCAGTTATTCCTAATCCACATGCAATATCTACAACAATCACGACTATCCTCCACCGATAGCCCAAAACAGTTATTTCTAAACTGAAAATAACTATGTCAACAATTCAATAGACAAAAGATACCAATTATCCAATTACGCCATTTAATCAATGAATTCCATGAATTTAACCCTCTTTTCCCAATTCCATGAATTACTTATACAAATTAATTCAATAATACAACTAGGGTTTTTCCCAAAATTTACCAAAGTATCCCCAACATGTTAAAATACCAAAAATTAGAACAAAACCTATAAAATGGAGTAGGAAATCCCTACCTCAAAGAAAACAACCCAAAAGATGAAGAAAGAGATGAGTGCCCAAATACCAAAGTGCTCCAAATTGCCAAATGCTCAGGTTAAATGGTAGCCCTTGCCTCACTCTATCTTTTTAATGAAGGATCTAGGGTAGAAACACACCCTAAGTGGATCAAATCTAAGAAAGAAGGTGAGTAGGGAGAGAGAAAAGTCGGACCTACGGTTTGGAATCAAAAGACCTAAGAGAGAAGGTGTGTAGAGGGAGAGAGAACTCGTACCTAGGGTTTTGGAATCTGAAAGGGGATGAAAAACAGATCTGAAACACGTTGCTGCCTATTTAAACCTGACATCCTCGCTCGAGCGAAGACTTGGTCGCTCGAGCGACCAGACACAGAAAACCCACGCTCGAGCCAAGAAAACCTTGCTCGAGCCAACAACCCAAAATCTCGCTCGAGCGAAAGAAATATCGCTTGAGCGAAGAACTCAAACCCTCAGGTCTGCCACCAGACACACGCTCGAGCGAAAGGACTATTGCTCGAGCGAAGAATGAACTCACTCGCTCGAGCGAAGAAAAGCTCGCTCGAGCCAACAAAGCACAGCTACAGGTCCAAAATCAGATGCAACCTCTCGCTCGAGCTACCAAACCCCGGCTCGAGCGAAGAACCAAAATAACAGCTCGCTCGAGCGAAAAACTCCTCGCTCGAGCGAAGATCCAAAATTCTGGACAACAACTCTTGGTTTCTAAACCCAACCAACCTGAAACAAACCTGCCCAACACATCCTATAAGTCCGAATGAGAAAATGAGGAACAACAACAACAATTATACAATGCCAGAATCTACAGAACCTAAGTCCGGACACAATACTCAAATGGAAGAAGACCGGGGTCGCTATATCGGGGATATCCGTGTCTGTCAAAGCATCACCAAAAGCTGTTGTCTGTGTTTTTTAACCATTCAATACAGGTAGCGTTGTCATTTTCTGTATATCAAATTTTAGTGCTGAAGAGACACTTGGATCTCAAAATTATGTTTTTAATGATTACTGTGTTATACTTTGTTGTAGAATGTTGCTGTTATTAAGATTTCAAATATTATTTTTGGGAAATCAGTGGGATAACTGACAACTGTCATATAAATATCTATATTCTATTCTTTATTCTGTGGCAATGTTTCTTGCTGCACAAAGTCTATTTTCTCGATGGCGCAAATGTTAAAATTTCTTTCGTTCCTTTCTTTTGCATCTTTTCCATTGTACCATTTAAAATTTGTCAAGTACCTCTGTCGTACACTTGTCACTAAGGTATGGGATATGTTTTTGACATGTCTAGTTGGACATGCCCAACAAATATGTTTAATTTGTAGAGCTTACTACAAAACTATGCATAAAACTCCCATCATATGCGTAAAAAAAGCCATGTTTTGGTAACATATTTTACCTTTAAATAATTAATAAATAAAATAATTATGAAAATGGGATTGCGAATTAGATAAATTTGACACGTATACATACTGGCACCTAATGCCCATACTTGAGTCCTTATAACATAGATTCACAATAATTTAAGACATAGTAGGTGATTAATTTAGGCCTATTGCAGAAACAAAAGTTGTTCTTTCTTATGATTTTCTACACGACATTGTCATTCCGCAATATATGCTGATCTTTCTCTTTTGCAATGTCTTCCTCAGGCAGTAGTTTCTAGGAAACAGAGCACAGCCTTCCCACAGGAAGTTCAGAGTTGGCTGTAAATCACATTGACAGTAAGTTGGTGATGGTGGCTGGGGTGGTAATTGGTACTGAAGGCTGATGGTTAATATTGTTTAAGCCGTATTAAACTTGGCATAAATTATTCAAATATTTGAATGGAAGAGTTCAGCACTTATTCTTACTTATCTTGTTTTTGTGTTTGGGTGTCGTCTCCTTTTAAGGAGATTTCTTTGTTTTTGATGTTTAGTGATTGGAAGGCTGTATGTCACTTGTTATTTCGCCTCCTTTTATTTTTGGTGGACTGCTTGTCCCTTTCATCTTTGTTGTTCTTTTTCTCCTTTGATTTTGGATAAAATTTTGTTGTTGATAAATAGTGTGTAATTGTGGTTCTTGTTTCACTATATTCTGTAGGTGTTATTTTTTATTTTAATGAGTTTGTGTTGTATATTTATAGTTCATAGGTTTTATTTATTTATTTTTCATTCAGGTTTTCAGAGATATCCCTTACGGCCATATTTAGACTATGTTGCTTATCTATATCAATGGATGGATCCCCTTCCTGAACAAGAACGTTTTGAGGTAGCCTTTCTCTCCTTTCTTCTTGGTTCAAACTGGTTTGTAATTTTTATATTATCTTTCTATTGACCTTCTTCTCTTATGGCAGCTTGGTTACAGGGATTTCTTACAGTTGCCCTTGCAAGTATGTTTTATTATGTAAATTCATGGTTTAATTCACAACTTTTTTAGTATGATGAACTTTTCATTCCCATCCATTGTGACGCTCCCCTCACTGTTGTTATAATTACATGTTGAGTTTCCTACTTCTGAATGTGGCCTCCCATGGATAATTTAGAGGCCCAAACATACGAAACATTTGAGAAGGATAGTGCCAAATATATCCAGGTATGCCTTATGATTAATCTAGAATCTAGATAATTTATATCTCATCTAAATCAAATTAGATTTTTCTTAGGTGGAAGTCATGGCGTAGTGTTCAGTGTGCATATATGTATTTAATCAAGTAAAATTACTGCCTAAATTTTATGCTTATTTTTAATTTCTAATGGCTATTTGTTTCCATATTGCTTATTTTTTTTAATATTTTATGGCTTAGATACTGTTTTGCTGTAGTGGTAAAGGGCAACTGTTTGCTACTGTCAATAGTTTTGTGTTTTGTGTGTGTGTGTTTTTTTTTTTAATATTGATCTTGTACTTGTATTTTGGTAGTATCAAAGAGCAGTCTCGAAAGCTTTGATGGACAGGGTCCCAGATGAAGAAGCATCTATGATAATCACTGTAAGTTGTGTGATAATCCCTGATATTATATCTCAGATGTATGTGTCGGAATAAAGTATAGCTGAGTTCATTCTCGTTGTCTTAATATCTTATCAGCAATTATGGCATGTGTTGCAGTTTGACAGTGAAGGTCATGACACTTCTGTTCTCGTGTTGTAGGTACTGATGGTTGTGGGAGCTGGACGTGGACCTCTTGTTAGAGCATCGTTGCAGGTCTACTCTTATGTCTATGTTGCGTGGAGATGAACATGGATGCAAACACAAAATTTGGATTTGACATATTACATAAATGCTAAATGCTAAAATGTCGACTTCCCTGAAATGGAAAATCAAGAGAGATGTCGATATTTACGTGTTCGACCTGTGTTAGAAAAGTTTTTGGTTATATACACACACTCATAGATGTATATAAAAGAAACTATTTTAAACATCTAGGATGTCATAATTAGTGTACATACATCAATGCTCTATTCCTTGGGAGTCGTGCTTGCACTACTTTGCTTTATAGTTTTTTCATATTAGTTATGGCTTATGTTTCTGAAAGGGGCTGCTTGATTTTATTGCAACTTTGATCTTTTTTGTTAAAAACCTTATTTTGCTTTTCTTATCTTCATAATAGGCAGCTGAAGAAACTGGACAGAAGTTGAGAGTTTATGCAGTGGAGAAAAATCCAAATGCAATTGTCACACTTCATGTAAGTTGTCAAATCCAATCATTTGAATCTGATTATTATTGTGCCTTGTTATAATGTAATTTGATGGTGTGGTTCTTGTTATGCATGCAAATATTGTACCACTGAAATTTTTGTAAAACTAGACATCTTTAGGCTTTTACACTGGTCTAGGGTTTGTAAGTTAGTTCATGTCTTGATTATGTTGAACATTGGTCTGCAATAGTCACTTTGGAATTAGGAGGAGCAGGATTCTGTATTATTTGTGTTGCACTTGTTTTTCAGAAGGATTACCAATCTAAATCATATAGATTCACTTATGCTGACCTTTTTTTTCCCCTTCCTCTGAATTTTCTTGTACTGAACAGGGTATGAATGACAGAGTTGTCCCACCCTCAATGACAGATTTTGTGCAGCGGCTTCTACCAAGGGGCGATGGTGCATAAGCTCCTTTACGACGGCCATTTCACCTGTTATTATTTCTGTGACGAATGCCATAGACAGATTTTCCCTACCATTTTTGGAAACCCACAAGGGCCACTTGCCACTAAAGTAGATAGCGAAGCGATAATAGAAGAGGAAAACCTTGGTGATTCTGTCATGGACTGAGAACATTTTCTGCCATGAGAACCATTTTTTGTTTCTTAGTAGATGCTTTCATAGTACTTGTATGTATAATTAGTTTGAATTGTATCTTTTGTGCTGATTTGTTTTGTAACAACTTTCTTACCACTAGGTACTAGTTTAACTTTGTTTTCATCTTGGAATTGAAATATTTTTGCGTATTGAGAAGCATGAATTGATTTAGTATTATGTTTATCTAAATTTAGTCAATATATTGTATATTTTTCATCTTTATAAAAGGTATTTTTTTGGGGTTAAATCTCACAGAATTAGCACAATTTATTATTATTTTTTTTAAAAAAATGAAGTTATAACGGCGTTTTTAAACGCCACTGTAAAATACTAACGGTTATATTTTTAAAATAAAAATGACCTATCACGGCGTTTTTAAAACGTCGCTAATGTGGAGTGATGTCATTGGATCATTATGCAGCACATTTAGCGGCGTTTTTTAAAATGCCATCTATACTGATATAGCGACGCTTTTAAAGCGTCATAAAGTTACAGCGACGGCCGCATCTTCGGCGTTTAGTACTAAACGCCACAAAAACAATTAGCGGCGTTTTTGATAGCTATAGCGGCGTTTTTTAAACGCCACTAAAAGCTTAATTTCCAGCAGTGACTCCCATATAAATTAGTTTCACACTTCTCCTCCTCTTATCTTTAACTTTCTTAATTTCACATTTTTAGATGTGAAATTGAAAGAATAAAATTAGGAGATATTCTTTCATCAAATATTTCAATTAGAATAATGTCATGGTCAGCAGTTACATCATCAGAACAAGGAAAGGATAAAATAAGGGGTAGTTTACCTGTCACTGACAGTCTGGCATATGAAAACTAAGTTACACATTAGTGGAAAGCTTTTGATAATTTCAACACGAATGTGATCTACAATTTTAATTAGGATTATTTATATGACAACTTCTTAAAATATTAAAAAAAAGTTCAACAATGATTCATCCCACTAAAAACATCACCACTAATAGCACTAATGCATTAAAAAAATAAAAAAACAAAAAAAAAATACAATTCCAAGACCAAAACATCACATCATTAATGACGGGACCCACTGCCACCTAATTAGTGGGAGCACTAATTAGTGCTCCCAAGCATTTTTCAAAAAAGTTATCACTTTTCTTCTTAAATTATAAAAGTATATAAATGTCCTCCTAAGCTATTGTAGTGTTCCACTTTTACTCATTCCATTAGAGGGTCTAATTGGTTCGTTTTTATAGTTTAGGTGGTCTATTTTTACATTTTTATAGTTTAGAGGTCAAAATAATACTTATTAATAGTTTAGAAGGTCCATTTGTATACTTTTACAATTTAAGGAGTCAAAATAATTTTTTTTAATAATTTAGGAGTCCTCATTAAATAACCCTTTTAATTATAAAAGGGTGAAATTTTTCAACACGCTCACGCAGTCACTCTCTTTATGCCTCTCTTGTCCTGAGTCCGGATCCTCGGCCGCACAATCCTGCCGCCATCCCTGCGGCACCCCCAAAACGACGTCGTTTTGGAGGAAATTTCAATTTAAAAAAAAAAAAAGAACAAAAACCCAAATGAAGAGAGAGAGAACGGAGGGGGGACCAAAATCAAACCCAGAAACCATGGGGGAAGAAGAGAGAGAGGATGAAGGGGGGCCAAAATCAAACCCACCCTAACTCTTTACACCAACCCAAATGAGGTTTGTCTCTCTCTCAAAGAGAGAGGATAAGAAGAAGTATGTTGATCTGGGTTTCATCATCGTGAGTCGAAAACTGTTTATTTGGACTGTTGGGACTATCCTAGCCACTGGTTTTCTTGCTGGGTTCATCATCCTAATCGTCAAAACTGTTCCTCACCACCACCGTCCTCAACCGCCGCCGAACAATTACACCATCGCTCTCAACAAAGCCCTCATGTTCTTTAATGCCCAGAGATGTGAGTCAAAATCTCATTATCAATGTTTTGATTATATTCATCTTGATTTCCATCAAATTGAAAGAAAACCCATTTCAAATCTTTTTATGTTTTAACAATTTCATCAAACTTTGAGTGAAAATGGGGTTGTTGGAAATTGGATGAAAGATTTGACTCATACCTATTTTGATGAATTGTTTGGTGAAAACTTGATTATACTCATCTCTTGCTGTATCACCTTTTTTTTTTAAAATCAAAAACCCATATTTAACCATCTCAAATCTTTTACCTTTTAACAATTTCAAATCTTTTATCTTTTATCTTTTCTTCTCCCTTCTGGTTTTCTTGCTCGGATCAAACCCATCTTCCTTCCTTTTTCTCCTCTCTCTTCTTTCCCTCTGGTTTCTGTTCTCTTTTTTTTTTTTAAATTGAAATTTCCCCTAAAACAAAATCATT